TATAGCATGCAACAATCATGCAAAATGGAGCAAGGATGTGACAATATGCAAGACAAGCATGCAACATCATGCAAAGATGGACTTAAACTAATATAGGTAGCTCTCAAGCATGCCAAAATCAGTGGCAAAATGATGTAACAAAGGCATGAAAACTCACACACAAGCATGCATGCACAAAGGCCTAAACATGGAGCATAAGCTATCAACTCTCCAAAGCATGAAAAGGGATGGAAAATGCAAGTATGAAAGCATGGAACATGGACTGAAATATGGTCTCCAATGATGCCAAATCATGAGAACAAGCCAAGTAAAGCATGCTAATGACACACACACCCAAGGCTAACAAGCTAGAATGCAAAGAGGCTATACCAAGCATGGCAAGCATGACCAAAACGACACCAAACAGAACTTAAACATGTTAAAACATGACTAAAAACTTCACAAAGCTAAGCCAAAATATGCAAGCATGGTGGTCCAAATGCAAGATGCCTTTCTAGGCAAAATAAAGGAATGCAAGGCAAGTGTAAGGTGCATGCAAGGGACCATTAAACCAAGCAAAAACAGTAACATGGTATGTCAAATAAGCCCCAAAAACCCATGGAAACAAGGTCCACACATGCTAGAATGGGGCGTTCCTTTGAAAGGCCAACAAGAGGGTTACTCTACACATGCAATAAGGACATTCAACAAGACCAAACCAACTCTGGAAATGGGTTATGGGGGTCCTAAAACCCACTGAAAAATGCTTGAAACAAGGCTTGGAAGCATGCAAATAGGAGTCCCTTTGGAAGGCCAAAAAGGGCAACAAACAAGGCAACAAGGGAGAGGGTCACCCCTCTCCTTCTTAGGACCTCAAACCACCATCTTCACCACTGAAATCCTTCAAGATTTCAGTGGTGAGGAGGCCCGAGCAAGGTGGTCCCGGAGCTCACCAAAATCACACAAAAATGGGGCCAAACAAGGCCTAATAGGGGGTAAACGACCCCAAACACAAAAGTGGTCTTAATGAAGTATCTTAAACACAAAAAAAAATAACTTTTTTATGTTATACACAAAGCCCAAATCCGCGAGCAAGATAGGCTAAAAGGGTGTGCAAAAACGGGGAATAAAGAGGGTAAGAAGTTACCTTTGAAGACCAGCAAGAACCAGCAGCCTTTAGGTCTCAAAAACCGGTCCTCAACCTCTGAAAACAAGCTCCAAGAACCTCCAAGTGATGATGGAAGTGTGTGGCTATGAAGTGGTGTGCAATAGGCCAAGAACAAGACCCTTTTGGACCCTCTAACCCACACAAATGTAGAGAGAGAGGGAGATATAGAGAGGGAGTGATATATATATCATATATATATGATTTTTCTAACCCCTAAAATGGAAGGAGAGGCTCTCCTTACATAGAGAAACCAAGGAGGCAAAGCTTCTCTTGGAAGCTTTGAGCAAAAAGGCCAAGCTTCTCTTAGAAGCTTGGATAAAAAAGGCCAAGCTTCTTAGAGAAGCTAGGCAAAGGGGTCAAGAGGTTCAAGCTTCTTCAAGAAGCTTTAAAAAAAGGGGTCAAGCTTCTTGGAGAAGCTAAAAAAAGGTTAAGCTTCTTGGAGAAGCTAAAAAGGGTCAAGCTTCTTGGAGAAGCTAAAAAAGAGTCAAAAGGCTCAAGCTTCTTGGAGAAGCTAAAAAAAAGGTTCAAAAGGGTCAAGCTCCCTCAAGAAAAGGTCTCTGTCAGGACAAGTGGCCGATTGATCAAAAACAGTGGCCGGCCGACCAAACACAATGCCGACCGACCATCAATAGTGCCGACCGGCCATCACCAATGGCCGGTGGCAAGGAAACAAGGCCGGTGGCCTCAAGCCATGGCCGGTGAGTTGTGGGGATGGCCTACAAGCTACTTCCCACCCTCAGAAGCAAAACAACAAGTGTTTGGTGCAAAACCAGACACAAAACAGTCGAGTTGAGAGATCCTGAGGCAGGGCGCATAGCCGAGACCTCCGGGAACTCAAGACGAACACGAACAAGGATGATCACCGAGTGTTCAACCGATGACGTTCAAGTCTTAAGGACGGTCAAAAATGGGATGTCTACACCAGCCATTGAAGATCACACTGCGTAGCCCCCCCACTGAACAAAATGGGACATCCTAGCAGCAAGACACCCCAGAACAAAGCATCCTTATAGCATTGCCCTCGCACCACTATCCAAACAGAATCTAATATGCTTCAAGTTAAAGAGAAAATCATGCACTGTGAATTTATGATCTTTAAACACTTCCTTGAACCACATAGCCATTCTAAACTTTATCCAATCACACACACCTTCGACATTTGGGATAGCATCCCTAAACAAGCATTCATTACGATGTTTCCACACGAACCACAGCACTGTAATAGGAAGAGCTTCCCACATTATCTTCTCTTTTTTGCTGAGCCTAAACCCTGCCCACCAGTAAAGAATAGCCTCCATTGTATCTGGCAGTGCACCTTGTACTCCCCACCAATTTAGTGTTTCTGACCACACTCTTCAAGTCACTGGGCAAGACAATAGGACATGATTAAGTGACTCATCCACAGATTTGCACAGAATGCAGAGGGTTGATGCATTTGCATTGAGAACACCAACCCGAAGAAGAAAGTCTGCTGTTTTAAGTCTACCTTTCCAAGCAAGCCACCCAAAGAATTAGAATCTAGGAGGAATGTACTTCAACCACACCCTTTTACTTGTTCTACTATAGCTGCCAAAACCACCTGCCAGAAATTTGTAGATTGATTCAACTATAAACCTCCCTACTTTTGAAGCCTCCCACACCAGTGAATCTTCTGAGGATAACCTAAGGATAGTACGAACCTCTAAAAATCCTATCAATCCGGTAACCTTCACACTTTCCCAATTACATAGCTCCCTTCTAAATTGGAACAACCACTCACCTGTATCCATCTTCATTTCCATCATTGCAGAGAAAGACTCTTCCTTGTTTACTACCAGTCTATATAAGAGTGGGAACTCATCTTTAAGACTTACATTTTCACACCATTTATCCACCGAGAACTTCACCATATGGCCATTACCCACTTTTAACTGAAAATTTTTCAGAAAAAACACCATAAGGCTGCTATTTTGTTCAATACCTTTCATAATATCCTTCCAAATTTTTGAACACCTGCTGTTAGAGGTGACTGAAGGCCACCAATTCCCCTCATCTACCCTATATTTGCTGCATATGACTCTTCTCCAAAGTGCTTTGCTCTCAACTTCAAACCTCCACCACCATTTCAATAAAAGGCAAGCGTTGACCTCATTAACACTCATAACCCCCAATCCTCCTTGGTCAACAGGTTTGGAGACTTCCTTCCATTTTACTAGATGAACTATCTTTCTTAATTTAGACCCACTCCAGAGGAATGAGGCCTAAAGCTTATCCAGCTCTCTTGCAACCCCTTATGGCATTTTATACAATGACAGATAATACATAGGCAGAGAAGAAAGTACAGACTTTATCAGTGTCAATCTCCCTGCAAATGAGAGTAATCTTCTTTTCCACCCTACTAGTTTAGTTCTGACTTTGTCCAAAATAGGCCAGCAAGTTGCTTTTCTACTTGGGTTAGCCCCCAATGGTAATCCAAGGTACTTAATTGGTAATCTTTTCACTTTGCAATTTAGCACAAATGCAAACTCATTCATAGATTCAACTGGAACTCCCACACCACTCACTACACTTTTGTGATAGTTTATCCTCAAACCTGACAATAGTTCAAAGCACCTCAATATTCTCTTCAAATTTCTGACTTCCAAAACTTCAACTTCACACAATAAGATGGAATCATCTGCAAACTACAAATGGGTCAAAACTACCCCACTTGCACCAATTTTCACCCATTTTATCAATTCCATATCCAAAGCTCTTGACAATAATATGCTTAAATCCTCTGCTACTATGTTGAACAGAAAAGGGGACGGGGAATCCCCTTGTCTGAGCCCTCTTTGTGGACTAAATTCACCAGTTGGTGCTCCATTAACAAGCACAGATAGTCTAGAAGAGGTAATACACTCCTTAATCCATTCCATCCACTTCCCTCTAAACCCAAAATTTATCATCATTGAAAACAAAAAGTCCCAATTTAACGAGTCATAGGCTTTCTCAAAATCTAGCTTTATGATCAAACCTCTTTTCCTAGACTTCTTCTATCCATCCACCACCTCATTTGCCACCAAAACACCATCTAATATGTTCCTACCTCCTAGGAATGCTGATTGGTTTTCACTGATAATTTGAGGGAGCACTACCTTCAACCTAAAGGATAGTACCTTTGATAGAATCTTATACAATAAGCCAACCAAATTAATTGGTCAATAATCAGCTAAATCCACAGGATTCTCCTTCTTAGGCACCAAGGTGATAAAAGAACTATTGATCCCTTAAACCAACTTATTGTTTTTATGGAATTCACTCATAAGTTGATCGCATCACACTTCATAACCTTCCACATCTTCTGGACACATGCCAAGTTGAACCCACTTGGGCCTGGAGCCTTATTGCCATCACAATCCGTGACAACACGCCTTATCCCTGCCTCAGAAAATTTTGATTCCAGCAGATCAAAAAATGGGTTGTTCCTAACTGGCTTGAATGATCCCTCCAACATAGGTCATGATCTCCACTCCTCTTTAAATTATCTTTGAAAATATGCTTGAACCTCCTGCTTTACTTTATCAGGATCTTCAAAAACCTCATTTCCAATAGATAATGAGTTAATCTCATTTATCCCCTGCCTACTTTTGACTACCACATGAAAATATCTTGTATTTTTGTCTCTCTTCAAGTCCCAATTTAGTCTTGATTTTTGAAGCCACATCCACTCCACCATTCTATACAGCCTGTCAGCTTCATCACTAACCTCTCTTCTTCGAGCTTTTTCTGCCTCTTCAAGCTCTCTTTCCTCTACTACCAGATCAATCTGATGCAACTCATCTTCTACTTGTTTTAATTTAGTATTTATATTGCCAAATATTTCACTATTCCACTATTTCAGAGCTAGCTTCAACTCTTTCATCTTCTTAAATAATTTGAATCCAGCCCAGCCTTGAACATCATTCTCCTTCCACCACTTTTCCACAAAAGGTGAGAAATTTGGATGAAGAGTCCAAGCATTCAAAAACCTAAACGGCCTGGGGCCCCAATCTCTCTCACTCTCCATCAAAAGTAAAGGGCTATGATCTGACAGTGCTATAGGTAACCCCCACAACTTTAGATTAAATGATTCCAACCATTTTGGTTCCACTAAAACCCTGTCAATTCTGCTCCATTTTTCCCCTTCTCTGGAGTTGCACCATGTATATCTTCTACCTAACAGGGGTAGATCATTCACTTCACTTTTATCAATGAATTCATTCAGCTCCTTCATACCCTTATCCCTTCTAGAGCACCCTTTTCGCTCACCAATGCTTCTGATTTCATTGAAATCACCCCCCAAGCACCAAGGATTAGGGAACTCCTCATTTAACTTCAACAGAGTCTCCCATAATTTCCCTCTTTGTCCCACTTCATTTGGAGCATATAAATTTACTATAACACAATCAAAAGAAAAGAATAAAGTACCTGATAACAAAATGAATCTTCTACTGCAGTAGCATCCTGAGACTTGGAGCACTCCTGGATCCCATATACATAATAGACCACTAGCAGTTCCTTCAGCATCCACTGTCATGAAATCCATCCTCTCCCTACCCCATAATTCCCCTACCCCCTTTTCTAGCATAGAAGCTTTCTTTGTCTCCTGAAACAATGCAATGTCTACTCCTTTGGCTTTCATCATGCTTTTAATTTTACTCCTTTTTTCCTTCCTACCCAAACCCCTCACATTCCATCATAGTAGCTTCACCATTAAATAGTATCACTAAACCCACCCCCATTTATCTGCATTTCAACTTGCGGCATCAGTACCCCCTCCCACTCTTTCTCTATCCTTTGCCTCTAGGTCCAGGATTTTTGACAACACCTCATCTTCATTACCTTTGCATTTTACTCCCAATAGTTTCCCATTTATAAAGTTGCACAAGTTCTTTAAGTGCATTGTTACCTCTATCCATTCCACTTTCAAATGATGATGAAAAAGCCGCAGCTGCTGCTCTCAGTAGTACCCCTTTTGGACCTAGTTTGCTTGATGTGGCCCCTTTATAGCCATATCTTTTTACCAAGTAACCCGGTATCATCTCTTTTACCTTCTTTTCATTTGATTTTCTTACTATTTTCTTCTTCCCTTTTCTTTGTTGTTCCCCTAATCTGGAACAAACTCCACCTTCATGGGTCTGCGACATATATGAAGTAAGTGACATAGGCCCTAATACACTTTGAGGCCCACCTTGTAAATCATCCTTCAAACCCAGGTCATGCACCACCACCCCTTTCATTATGTGGTCCAACCCACCTATTAGCCCCACCTCCTTACTAGGGCCCAACCCCACTTCTAATTCCACCCCAGGTTTTAGTTAACTTGAGCCACCCAGGCTTCTTACAAAACCTGGGGTGACAACCTGATCTTCACTCTTCTGACAGTCCAACACATAGTCGTTGTTTATGTTCCCAACTATCTTCATAATACCTTTTGTCCTCCCCTTGAGCTCATTACCAACAGACTCAGCCACCACCGTTTCAGTTCTCCCATGTAACTCCTTATCCACCTCATCTCTGTTCCTTTTTCCATATGTCACTTCCCCTCTTGACACCTCTTAAGGCTGGCCCATCTTCCGTGCTAACTCATTATCCCAGTCATCATCTTCTTCATCCTCATCACTGACATTTTTCCCATTTGCAATCTGCGCACCCATGTTTGAACTAGAATTCTCTTCCCTACCATACCTCTTCAAACACTTGCAACTCCCTACCAATGTTTTTAATACCCCTGAATGTTGTTTCCACACTCTCACAGAATGAAGAGTACCCTTGCATTCTAGATTGATGGCTTGATTGATTGGCTCCATACATCTGGTTACTATTTGAATTTTTGCACAGTCGAACGATACTGGGTTGCACAAATCTCCTTCAATACAGATCATTTCCCCCCAAAGTTTGCCAATTCTATTTAGTGTGTCCCTATTCCATAGATTCCATGGTAGACCATAGCAACATAACCATACCTTACATTCTTTCACTCTTACTAGCTCAGGTTCCCACTTCACTATTTCCTCACTCTAGTCTTGTACCCACTTTTTTATGGTCTCCAAATTGGCTTTGCTTTCCTCCTTGAACTTAAAAGTTATCAACACATCCCTACCCCCACCATCCCTTACCAATACTTGTTTCATGCCCCTCTCTTGAATTTCTTCTTTAAGGTTAATGGTGGCAAATGTTGGTTTAAGGCGCATTGTCATATAACCAGCCGTTTTCTATCTCTTCTGCCTTGATTGTAACAGTTTTCTCTCCCATGGTGTTAGTGTTCTTTGTAACCTCTACATAGGATCTAGACCCTATTACTAGTCTCCACACACTACTCTCACCCCTTCCTTTAGCAAGTGAATCTTTTGGTTTGGGTCGATGGTATTCGTTCTCCTTTGGTTTCCCTTTAGCATAATCTGCATGCTTTACTTCAAGTCTCTTGTCTTTCACCCATATCCCATTAGCCTTTTGAACTGCTACTTCGGCTGCCACTACACACTCAAATCTGACGAAAGCAAATCTAGTATTACTCACCTTCCTTTCACCACTCCAAACTTCCTGAATATGTCAAACAAACTCTTTGGATTCATTGAGCTTGGTACACTACAAGAAATAACACATTTGCCGACCAAAAAATTGGTCGCTAAAAGCCCATTTTTAGTCGGCAAAAGTAATCCACGACCAATTTTTTTGGTCGCTACTTTGGTCGCCAATTGAGGGTCAGCAAAAGTAATTTGCAACCAAAATTTTTGTTCGTCTAGAAAAGTTGGATTTGCCGACTAAATTTTTGGTCGCTAAATATATTATTATTGCGACTAATTCATTTTGTTGCTAAAACACTTTGGTCGCGAAAAGTGATATTTTCCTGACCAAATATCTTAGTCGCCAATTGTCACATTTCACGACCAAATAGATTAGTCGCCAAAAGTCGAGGAATCACCGACTAACAATTTAGTCGCCAAAAGGTACGGAATTGCCGACCAATGATTTTAGTCGCAAAAGTGTAGAATTTTCCAACCAATTTTTTAGTCGCCAAATCTTTTTTTTTTTTTTTTAGAACAATCAATTTTTGGTTATAAACATTCAATCCAATATAAAACAAAATTTATTCAACCCAACCACAATTAAGGAACAATAACATTTAAAAAAGAAAAAGCTTAGCAACAATAATTAACAAATTTCCTTTCTTGTACCTTCACTAAATCATCAAACAATAATTGAATTCCATTTAAAATAAAGATGAAAATATGTAACTGTAGTATAGCACAGGACATATTCAAGTCCAATTGAATTTAGTAAGCATGTCTTCTCAAAAGCTTTATCCTCTTTGAAGTCCAGCATGACACAAAACTTGAAGCCTTTCACCTTCTTTAATGATTTAACATATCAACTTGCTCGGCAGCTGATCCAAACTAACATATCAACTTTATGGATAATTGACCCTCCACCCTTGCATGGCCGAATGAAATAGCCACTTGGAAGCATTTCAGCTCTCTCAAATTTTTGCATCACCAATTGTCCCAAAATCATAAGTTTTAGAAAATAGGCGAATCAATGTATCCAATTAAGTCCAAACTCGATTCGTTTGGTAATATTAATGCCCTCAACTAATACAAAATAATGTAAATTATGTATAAATGTTTTTGAAATTAAACAAGAATCAAAAAAGATAAGAAATTTCTCTCACAATAATCGAACAAAAGGTAGTAGACAAATTATGCAATAAAACAATCAATTTTCATCATATCACATGTCAGAGAAATCTAATTTTACTAGGTAGATCAACAAAGATCTTCTAGGCTGGCTTGAGAACTTGGATCTTCATGTTCATTGGTTTCAAAACAAACACCACCATCATCATGCTGCATAAATATCAACAAATGAGCAATGCAACATAAATGCCGATTTTGTTATTGCCAGCTTTATGATATAAATATATCTGAATATACTAGAGGTCTGCCTAACCTTTTTAGGCTGCAGAGGTACTTCTTCATACTCGTATGCATTCTCTGGCATGTCAAAATCAGATGGACCAAAATCAAAGCCTCCATTATCATAATCATTGTCATCATTGGGATCACAAAATGATTCACAAGTTTCACGTCCTCCATGAATAAGTGAATTTCTTAACTGTAAATAAAACATCAGGCATCATTTAACAAAAACTAGACCGTTTAAGGAGACAATTTTAAACAACCAACAAACCAACCTTTTCATATTTTCAAGGAGATTGGGATTCTTGTTGTCTCTTTGAGGCATGACGCCGTGCTTCCCATATGTCATTGAGTTCAGAATGTATTTTCACCATATACAGAGGTTTAATAATTAGAACATATCCAGAATGAGTATACCCACCAGGGAGTAGAGATAGATGCAAAATAGGACAATCTTAAATTCCAAGAAAGACGCAAGCAAGCACAGAACCGCAAATGGCTAACATTAATATGTGAAGTGGCCAAACACAAGAGTGCATGCAAGTCACTGATCAAGTTGGGTTTCTACTAGTCGAAGGTGTTGTTCTTTCATTTTGTTATATACAAACCCAAGTAGTACATTAAGAATCCATTACGGCCTTTGTCCCAAAAAACTTACTTCTATGGTTTTCACTGATGTCATTTCTCCATCGGGGCCTGGCCAACTTAGCATACTTGAATCCTCATAAAATTTGTAAAAAGATTCAGGTTCAGTAAGAAGCACTTTGTAATAGCGCTCCACAAAGGCATTTGTTACAACTTGTGCCATGTGAGTAGGAGAACCTGCTGTCTGTATTGCCATCTCTGTTGAAATATAACATTGAAACATCATTATCATAATGACAATTTTTATAATTAAGAAAAAAAAGCTGATTTCAATTTTTTTTTCTTTTTCCAGAAAACTAAACATTAACAGCACTATTCACTTCACTCTTAAAAACAAGAAAAACATAAAGATACAAATTATTATTGATACAATGTAAGATTAAGGAAATACGAGTAGAAATTATTGTACACGGATGTGCATATACATACATAATATATAAATTGGGGAAAGTTGAGTTTTGACGAAATTGCTAACCGGGAAGAGAAACAAAAAAAACGAAATCAATACAAAATGAAAATAAGTCTTGAAATTCAATAAAAAAATTCAAACTTACGCATATATGCTCAATGTGATTGGACAAACTGAACTATGCAACAAACCCTATCTCCTAGATCCTCACCCCACCTCCATAATCCCACTTATAATATAAAAACATGTGTGTATATCCTAGTACAGAAAACAGATCACTATGAAATAATACCACAGAATCAATTTGTAAAAAGAAAATAAAATCGAACTCCCAGATCAAATAGAAGAAAACCCAAAAAGGTATACATTAAACACTAATTTTTTTAAAAAAGAATAAAACTATTAGTTTCACTAGAATTTAAGCCTTTTCCTTATTAAAATCAAACTTAACCAAACACCAAAAAATTGAAAAAGCCATCTCTTAACCTCTATTTTAAATTAAACAAACCAATCTGTGAAAATCAATAGACTAATCTAAAAGATAAAAACAGAGCAACATTATTTCAAAAGAGATTAAAAAAAACCATCTTAAACCCTATTTTTAATTAACCTAATCAATCGAACAATGTAAAAGATAAAAACTGAGGCTATCTCTTAAACCCAATTTTCAAT